GTACCCTGTGGGGCTTGGGGGATGAATCCCAAGTCGGTCATATGCAAGGTAAGTGCCTTACCTGCTGTACTATCTCTTTGCCCCCCTTAAATTCTCTAAAGAAAATTCTTTATAGCATTGCTGTCCAATGGAAATACAATAGGAATATCATGCATAGTTCTAAGTTATCAAGTAGCTGCATTGCGAAGGCATGGGATGATAGTTGGAAATGATCACTCTGGACAAGAACTGAGTGTTTACTTTACAATAGCCAGAATCTGGAAAAACCTGAGTGCCCAAGAACAGATGACTGGTTAAAGAAACTTTGGTACATCTACACAATGGAGTACTATGTAGCTGTTAGAAAAGATGAAGTCATGAAATTTACATACAAGTGGTACTACATGAAAAGTATCATGCTAAGCGAAATGAGTCAGAAAGAGAGGGATAGACATAGAAAGATTGCACTCATCTGGGGAAGATAAAGTAACAAAATAGGAGATTAATACCCAAGAATAGCCGAGATCAGTACCAGGAGGATTACTCCATAGCTTAGAGGCCAGCCGGCCATTGTAGGGGAAAGGGCAGCTCAGATAGAGAAGGTAGCACCAAATAAAGGTTGTTTGGAGGATCCTGCCAGGAGGGGAGATGCATATTGAAAGTAGACTATGGACTGAACATGATTGCCACTCAATGCCTCTTTTGCAGACCACAACACCCCAAAAGAGAGAGAACAAAAGGGAATGCCCTGCCACAGAGGCAGGGTGGGATAGGGGGTATGGGGGGGTGGGAGGGATACTGGGATCCATGGTGGTGGAAAATGGGCACTGGTGGAGGGATGGGTATTTGATCATTGTATAATCGAAAACCAAGCACAAAAATTTGTAAATCTACAACTGTACCTCATGGTGTTTCACTAAAAAAAAAAAAGAACTGAGTGTTTAAAGGAGGTAAAGTAATATACATGATAACCTTTCAGTGCCTGTATTGCAAACCACAGTACCACAATACCTAAAAGGAGAGAGGGATGGAGTGTGTGTGTGTGTGTGTATGAGAGACAGAGAGACAGAGAGAGACAGAGAGAGACAGAGAGAGGAAGAGAAGGAGGGAGGGAGAGAAAGAGAAAAGATAAGTGTCTGCCATTGAGGCAGGTTGGGGGATGGCAGAAGGGAAACTGAGGACACTGATGGTGCAAAATGTACACTGGTAAAGGGATGGGTGTTGAAATGTTGTATGACTGAAACACAATCATGAACAACTTTGTAAGTGTATATCTTAACAATGATTCAATAAAAAGGAGGGGGAATAAAATAAAATAAATTTTTGAAAAAATAAGTTGCGGGACAGGGGGCAAAGAAGGCTGAAGAGTGTTTGCCTTGCATGTGATCCCCGGCATCCCACATGGTCTCCAGAGCACTTCCAGGAGTAATTCCTGAGTACAGAGCCAGGAGCAACTCTGAGCATTGCCAGGAATGACCTCAAAACCAAAAATATGGGATATCCATTCAAGAAAAGATTTGTGTTTATCCATTATATTCCCCAATATTTATACTGATTTCAGTGTAATCAATATACAAATGCAAGCTATATTTCTTCTACCCGTGAGATGGGTCACAGTGCATTTTACATGGGATTAGCCACGTTTCAGGAGTTACCACAGCAGAGAGAACAGCTCTGTGGGGTCCATAGACTCTTGGAGCTGGCACTGAAACAGATCAGCGTTTTCCCCCCAGGCACCGAGGTTTATGATGCTGATAATGGCAGGGTTTCTTGCATAAGACATTCCAGCATCACACCCTCCACCAGAGCATCAGCTTTCCTCCACCACTGTGTCAGAATCTCCCCATTCTATATCCCCACCTAAGCTTCCCACTGAAGACCACTTCTCAGTTTCTGTTGCCTTTGGACATTTGTTATTTCCTTATCGTGTTTCTTTATATTACACATATGAGGGAACAGCAATTACACTTCTTGGCATTGGTGAAGGGCTCAAAGACTATCCAGAAGTGAAGGGCTCAAAGACTCTATCCAAAAAAAAGACATTTGTGCTCCTATATTTATTGCAGGACAGTGTTTTTACCTATCCAGCTTAAAAGGCTGAAAACCACTATTTTATTGTGAGTGGGTTGTTTTTTCTATTGGGTCAAAACTGGCAGTGCTCAGGGCTTCCTCCTGTCCTCTGTGCTCAGTGAACCTTGTGCAGTACGCAGATTAAACCAGGGTCAAGCAAGTGGAAGGCAAGTACCTTAACTACTGTCATAGCTCTTCAACCCTCACTGGGTTTTTTGTTTGTTTTTGTGTCACACTCAGTGGTGCTCAGGGTTTACTCCTGGCTGTGCACTCAGAGATCACTCCTGACAATGCTCAAGAGACACTATGTGGTGCAGGGGTTCAAACAGGGATTGAACATTTGCAAGGCAAGCATTAACTCTGGCCCATTTTAAAAGAAAGGAGAGGAGGGATTGCCTCAGGGGTCTTATGTGATCTTCAAAACCTAAAATATTTACTATCTGTCCCTTTTTAGAAAGCCTGCCAACATCCTGCTGTCTAAAAAACACTCTTCGGGGTAGAGAGAGTACAGTGGGTAGGGAGTTTACTGTGCACAATGCCCATCCGGGTTCTATCTCCAGCATCCCATATGGTTCCCCAAGCACCGCCAGGAGTAATTCCTGAGTGCAGAACCAGGAGTAACCCCTGAGCACGGCTGGGTCTGACCAAAAAAAGCAAAAAACAAACAAACAAAACAAAACAAACAACCCCCCCCCCCACTCTTCTAAAGGCCCAAAACAAGGGTTTTTGGTACTACAGAGATATTCAAAGGGCTGGAGGGCCTGCTTTGCCTATAGGAGTCCTGGTTTCATTTCCCCCAACAGAGAGTAGCCAAACCTCCGGCATAAAAACAAAAGTATAAGGTAGGGAGCCTTGAGTGGGCCTGACTCTATTACTTAATTTAAAAGTTATTGCAACCCCCAAACGCTCCTCAGTGCATATCATGGCATGCATACATTTTCTTTGCTGTATGTGTAACATCTTTGTGGAGTTTGAAGGGGGTCAGGTCTAGTAACCCTCTTCCATGGTGGGGGATAAGAGAATGTGTGCATGGGTCAAGAGAGGATGGATAGGGCAAACTGGATCTGCAGCTTTCCAGAGGGTCAAAGCCTCAAGTAATGGGCAGTGGAGCTGTCAATCTGTTAGGCAGCGACGACGACACTGAAGCCCAGACTTCTTATCTCTCCCACCCCAGCCTACAGCCCGGTAGGAAATGGTGAAGAATGAGAGAGGGAGATTAGGAGACAAACCGACCTCCAGCGAAGCTGCTATTTTGACATTTTAGACTTAGGAGGTGGAAGGGAGTTGGAGTGGGGGTGCAAAGGGGAAACACCCCCTGATCCCTAGGTACCCACTTTTTATTACAGTTTGGGAGCTTATGGGGGAGGGCCAGCCCAGAGAGCTGTGGTCCCAGTTCAAGTCCCCGCTGAGAACTCATTCTGGCCTCAGAAAACAACAGTGACAACTTTCTTGAAGAGGGAACTGACGCCTTGACGTTCAGTAACTTGCCCCTGGTCACATGGGTGAGTTTCCTAACCTCAATTTCCTTCTCGCGAGCAGCCTTAATGGGAACTAGAAAATTGTGGCTAAAAACAACGCCCTATATTCCAATCATGACTCACCCCTAAACCTTCTCCCACCTTCACCATCCTTCACCACTTTTGGGGCATAGCTGACAATTAATTGCAAGGCCTTCCTGTGTACCCGCTTAGTCACTAGTTACTCTGATCGCCGGGCATCCGCAAGATCACCACACACATTCTACTTTATTTGGGCCACCCCGCAGCCACTGCCAGTTTCGTGCGCGCAGGCCACCGCAAGCCTGCCCGCGCTACGTCATCATGGTGTGCAGCGCAGGAAGCCGCGGGGAGGACGGAAGTCGTCCCTTCCCTACTGCTCGGCAATGTAGTTTGCTCTCTTGAGCAACGCAAAGCACAGTGGACGCGGGTTTTGGACGTCTCTGAAAGGGATCGCACAGGGACAGAGGGTCGGTGGCCGTAGCAGCTCGGAGCCCTACGGCGGCACCCACGGAAAAGGCACGCTCAGGTCCCTGCGCGCGAAGGCAGGACAGCACGCACGCGGCACGCCTGACGTCTGACGTCATCAGTAGATGCCCCAGCGCTCCCGACCGCCTGCGCGCAAACTTGCCTTTCTTGAGGAGAGGGAGGTGGAGCTCTAGCGAGGGGCGCGGCCCTCAAGCACGGTCTCAGCTCTGTGGGCGGGATATGGGTGGGTTTGTGTAGAGATCCGACCCAATGGAACAGAAGCGCTCTGGCAACCGCGGCCATACAGGTCGCCGGGAGGTTGGCGGCCCGAAACAGGGGCGGAGTTTGAGAAAAGGGTTGCACCCGGTGCGTAAGGTCGAATGGATTGGTCGAAGTCCGTGGCAGGGGGCGGAATGCGATGGATGGGAGGTGGCGTGAGGCGGCTCCCGAACTGATTGAAGCGGGTTGCTGACACCTTAGAGATACGATCTAGACAGGGGGTGGAGTCTAGGAGGAATAGGAGCAGTTTTCCGAAGAGCTTGCTGAAACCTTAGGTGCGGAAACCCGATCCCTGCGCAAAGGTTGCGGGCCCGACCTGATAAGGGGGTGGAGTTGGGGGCTTGGGAGGTAGTAAAAGGGTGATTGATTTTTCCTGGAAGATTAGTGGCTGCTGTAGAGGGCTGTTTGTGAGGGGATGGGGTCTAGGAGAGGCGCAAAAGTCTGGGAAGGGACGGTGTTTAGCTGAAAGGACCGACTCTGAGGCTCAACAGCTTCGTGAAAAGGCAAGATTGCGGCAGGCTAACGAATCCCGCAGAGGGGGTGGGGCCTAGAAGGCGGGCAGGGCTTAGCGTGATGGGCGGGGCCAGGGAAATGGAAAGCCCGGTACTGGGGGCGGGCCTAGAGACAGGCGGGGTTTAGAAGACGGTGGGAAAAGGGAGCGCTTAGGGCCGGAGATGAGGGGGCGGGGCCTGGGAAGGGGCTGGCAATGTTGGGGTCCCCTGGGCTCTCGGGCGCCGTCACTGTCACCTTCACCTCACCCCTCCCAGGGCCGCGCCAGGCGCGAAGTCTCCCCGATCATGACCTCCACTGGCCCGGATTCCTCTGCTACTAGGCATCGGCGGGGTCGGCACCACCCTCACTCGCCCCCGCAGGAATCCGCTGGCACCTCAACCTCGGTGAGATCTCAGACCTGCTTTGAGGAGGGGAAGGGCCAGTAGCCACCCGTGCCCTGTACTCTGATTCCTCTCTGTTTTTCAGAAGCGAGGTGTAAAGAAAGGTTCTACACGGCACTCCAGCCCCAATCTAGCAGAGGTGAAGAAGAAAGGCAGAATGAGAAAGCTCAGCCTATCCACCGAGCAGGATATCATCTCTGGGCTGCAAGGGCTGGTGAGTTGGGCCTGACCCCAGTCTCTTACTTTGCCTAAGGTTCTACATACTGGGAAATTGTTTTTTCCTTCTGACTTGGGTCCTAAGTGGATGTGTCTTCCTTTTTCCCTCATCTGCCCCCTAGGATCTGAACCTTGAGAGCAGGGTGCTGACTGGCACAGGCTTGGTGTTTGATGAACAAACTGATGAATTCCACCTCCTCTGTGATAACAGGTAATGAATTCCACCACCACCAGCTCTTCTAGGCCACCCTCCTACCAAACCACACAAACCCAGTCAGAACCTGTTCATAGGTATCAATAGGAAAATCTTGATGCAGTGATTTAGGGAGGAGAATTCAGGCTTGACAGAGCTTTTATGCAGCCAACCAACGTTGGCTGAGATATTGTTAACTTAGCATTGTTAGTTGAGTGCCTCTGGAGTCAGGACTTTGAGATGTCCAGTAAGACTGTTGATGTTTTAGGAGCTAATAGGTGGATCAGAGAGATCATTAAACAGTTGCCAGCATTAGGACATCTTCAGTGAAGGCAGACTACAGTAGAGGTGCTCCAGATCATTCAGTTGAGTACCCTTAGTCACTCCCCATTTCACAAGAGTTTCCATATACCAGGGAATCCTCTCAGCCTTCCGTTTCAGTTGTATCTCACCTCTTTCCCACCACCACCATCACACACATAGGTTCGCAGATGCCTCTCCAACTGTCTCATGCTTCCACCCTCACCCTTCCTGCCTGTACCTCCAAATATTCCCCCACGGTATCCCGCACTATGCTTATACCATCATGTCCTCTTTCTGGGTGTTTTCAGGGTCAGGCCAGTGCCCTCCAGGTAAAGCCCAGATTCTTCCTTGGGACCTCAAAGTTTTCACATGAGCTGCACTGTAGAAACCCGATCAGCCAGTCTGCACCCTCATTTTCACTTCAGTTCCTACACTCTCCTCCCCTTGCTCTTCTTCCACTGTGCAGGCACTTTGTCCTTAGGTCTTTCCTCTGCTTGCCTTTTTGCCAGAGATCCGTTTACCCTTTCTCCTCTCCTGGTTCACATTCACATCTTAAGGCAACTTTCCCAGAGAGAGCTTGGCCTGGCTACTCCCCTGGCCCTAGCCCCGAGATTTTCCTAGCCCTTCTTGATGTTATACTTGCTTGCCAGTATAGGTATATTGGTAAAAACTTGTTTACCAGGGCTCGAGCAATAGCACAGCGGGTAGGGCATTTGCCTTGTACGCGGCCGACCCGAGTTCGATTTCCAGCATCTCATATGGTCCCTTGAGCACTGCCAGGGGTAATTCCTGAGCACAGAGCCAGGAGTAACCCCTGTGCATTGCCAGGTGTGACCCAAAAAGCAAAAAAAATAAAAAACTTGTTTATCAGTGTACTTATATTCCCCTGCCTGAATATAAGATTCATGAAGGCACAAGACCTCATTTAAAAAAATTAATTGAACCACTGTTAGAAACACAGTTACAGATCTGGTTATGATCAGGTTTCAGGCATACAATGTACCATCACCCATCCCTGCATCAGTGTGCATTTCCCACCACCAATGTCCCCAGTATCCCTCCTGCTACTCCTCACAACCAGCCTGCCTCTATGGAAGGCTCTGCTCTGCTCTTCTCTCTCCTTTTGGTCATTAAGGTTTTCAATACAGGTACTTAGAGGTTATCATGTTTGGTCCTTTACCTAATTGCAGTTCTTATCCAGAATGATCATTTCCAACTATCATTCCCATAGTGGTCCCTTCTCTATCCCAACTGCCTTCTCTCCCACTACTTTATTTTTTAAGAATTTTGGGTCATAACTGGCGATTCTCAGGGCTTACGTCTGCCTCTGCACTGAGGAATTACTCCTGACGGTGCTTGGGGGACCATGTGGAATCCCAGGGATAGAACCCAGATTGGCCACATGCAAGAAAAGCACTCCACCTACTGTAATATCTCTCCAACCCCCAAAGACCTCATTTACTTAGAGTGCTAGGGATAGAACTTATGGCCTCACCCATGCCAGGCAAATCCTGTACCAATGAGCTATATCCTTGGCCCCCACAACTTTACTTATTGAATAGATTATCTGTCCTCTACCTAGAAACTGGAGAAGCACCAGTTCCTGAAAACCAAATTCAGCCCTTGCTTTTTTGGACAATGGAAAGTACATTTTAGAAAGGAAAGCTAGTCTATAAAGAAACAAAAACACAGTGTGCTAGATCAGAATGGAGAATGGGAGAAGTGCAGGGGAGGTAACTCTTCCATTTTATTTTATTTTTTTTATTTAATTTTTTTGAGGGGGGGTTGGGCCACACATGGCTGTACTCAGGGCTTACTCATGGCTCTGTGCTCAGGAACCACTTCTGTATGCTTCCGGCAATGCTTTGGAGAACATATGCAGTACCAGGGATCATATTGGGCCCAGGGATTAAACTGGTGCCAGGAATTAAACCAGTGTCGCCCACATGCAAGCAAAATGCCTAAATGTACTGTTTTCTTATTGGCCCCTAACTCTTCTGTTTCATTTTTCTCGTTTTGGGCATTTGGGCTATTGCTGGCAGTGCCCAGGGCTCATACCTGGCTCTATGCTCAGAGATCACTGCTGGTTCTGATCTTGTTGACCACACCTGATGGTGCTGGCAGGTATATATGTGGTTCAGGATTTGAACCATTGTTGCGGCTCAGCCACAGACTAGGCAAGCACTTTAAACTCTGTACTATCTGTCTGGCCCAACTCTTCCAGTTTGCATCATGTGTTCATAGAAAGCTGCCTGATACTTGAGCAGAGATCTAAAGGAGGTAAAGGAGTAAGCTTTGGAGATATCTGAGAGAAGAGAGTTCTAAAAGAGAAAAGAGTTGATTGAATGGAGAAATTTTGGTTTGATTGAGGAACTGGGAAAACAGAGTAGGAGAAGCAGCAAGAGGGAAGGAGAAAGCTGATAGAGTTCAATTGTTGAGTGCCTTATGGGGCATAGGGAGGATTTAACTGGCTTTTGCTTTGAATTAGATGGGAGCTGTAAGAGGTTTCCTGTATATGAGTGTTTTGTTTGTTTTGAAGTATTGGAGATTAAATCTAGGTCTTGTTCATGCAAAGCATCACAGGAGGTTTTTGTTTTTGTTTTGGAGCCATGCCCCGCAATTCTCGGGCCTTATTCCTTGCTCTGTACTCAGGGGGGACCTTAGGTGGTGCTGGGGATCAAACCCAGGTCAAGCTGCATGCAAGACAAGTACCTTATCAAGTATATTATCTTTTCAGGCTCTAAATGAGATTTTTTAAAATTCTTGTTGTTTGGGGGCTACATCTATTAGTGCTCTGGGCCCACTTCTGACTGTGCATTCAGGGATCACTTCTGGCTGTACTCATGGGGCCACATGGGAGGCCAGGGTTCAAGCCTCGGTTGGCCACATGCAAAGCAATCACCCTACTTGCTATAGTATTATTAGCCCTTACAACAAGTTTTTTGTTTTTTGTTTGTTTGTTTGTTTGTGGTTTTTTTGCTTTTTGGGTCACACCCAGCAATGCTCAGAAGTTACTCCTGACTCTGCACTCAGGAATCACTCCTGGAAGTGCTCAGGGACCATATGGGATGCCAGTGATTGAACCCGGGTCGGCCACATGAAAGGCAAATGCCCTACCAGCTGTACTATTGCTCCACCCCTCCCCCTTGTTGTTTTTTGTTTGGGGGCAACACCCAGTTGTGCTCAGGGCATGCTGAAGGGCTTATCCTCAGGGATCTCTCCTGACAGTGTTTGGGTGGGGGGCACATGGTATGCTTTGAATTGAACCTGGATTGGTCACATGCATGCCAAGTGCACTACCTGTTGTACTGTCTGTCTGACCTGTATGAAAGGTTTCTGTTTTGGGGCCACATCCAGCAGTGCTCAGGGCTTATTCCCGACTCTTACTCAGGAGTCACTCCTGGTGGGCTCAGAGTGGGTTACCGGGAATCAAACCCACATCTCCTGTGTGCAAGGCATGAGCCCTACTCTCTGTACTATTGCTCTCCCCCCACCCACCAAGTGAGAGATTTTCAGTAGAGTCGGGACTCAGTCTAATTTGAGTTTTCACAAGTGCCTGGTTGCTGTGTGGATAGAGGACTGATGAGGGCATGAGAGTGGATGGAGGGAGGCCAGAGAGGAACTGAGTGCAGTGGCCAAGTAGGAGGATTTGGTAGCAGCACCTCCTCCTCCTGGTGGAACAGGAACAGCTGTGGTCCTTACCTGTGTCCTCATCAATACCTGTGTGGTGACTATCTGTTATAGCATCCTGGAAAACCTGGAGCGTCTCCGTGTCATCAGGGAGCAGCTGATCCAGAGGGGCCTCCTGGACCGCTGTGTGTCTTTCAAGGTGAGCTACCGAGCAGATACCACAGATGGAGGGTTGCAGCTATCAGGGCCTGGGCTCTGCCAGGGCATTTATCTTTTATTCCTCATGTCTCTCTAGGCCCGCTTTGCTGAGAAGGAGGAGCTGATGCTGGTTCACAGGTGAGGGCTGGGGAGCTTGTTGTGATGCAGACGAGGCAGTTCTGGACCAACCAGACTAGACTGGAGGCCTTGAGTAGGAATAGCTTAGGTTCCAGAACCTCTGGGACTCTCGGAATCCCAATGCTGCCACAGTGACCTGTAATGGAGGTCAAGGAGGGAGGCAGGCCCTGAATCTTACTCTCCATCTATGTCTTCAGCCAAGAATATGTTGATCTGATAGAGACAACCCAAAACACGAATGAGGCGGAGCTTCGTGCCATAGCAGAAGGCTATGACTCAGTTTATCTACATCCGGTATGGAGAGAACTGTGAGGGCAGCAGGTGGTGGCAATTCTGGGCTTCTCCATCCTCATGGGGCCTGGGGGGTAGGGCTGTGTGGGGAGGAGAGCAACTGAGTGGAGATGTGTGTTCTCTCCCACTCTACCTGTATGGCTCCTGGCTATCTCTGCAGAATCCATATGTCTGTGCCTGCCTGGCCACGGGCTCAATCCTCACACTGGTAGATGCCATGATGGAAGAGGAGATCCGGAATGGCATGGCCATCATCAGGTAGGACTGAGCAGTGTTTCACGGTTTGCATTTGAAACCTTTTTCCCTCAGATATATGGTGTAAATCTGTGGGTAGTATAGTCATTGATCAAGATTTCAAAAGATACAAAGGGGTTACAAGAAAATGTCTCCATCAGATCCCAGCTCCCTCTTTTGGAGGGAGTTGGCTTAATCAATGACCCATGTATCCTCCCCAGAATAGTTGGTACCCAGTCAGTCACAAACTAAATGCCATTCTTTTGTGGATTCTGAGAGACCTAGACTTGGTATTTGTAATACTGTGCAATCCAGAGGCATCATGCAAATAGTGGCATCTAAGAATGCAGTCAACAGCCACCTTTTCCCCCCCCTTGGTTGATGCATATCAGATTATGGCGGAGCGTTCTGCCATTGGCATACCAGAATGGATGAAATGCAGGTGAAGCAGCCTTTCTCCACTCCTCCTGTAACCACAAGTGTTACTAGCATCCAGAATGCCCTCTCCTGTCCCAGACGTTTCCCACTTACGCATCTGAGCCAGCTCTCTGTGTAGCACTTAGACCCACGAAGCACATTATCATGGAGGTGCACAGCAAGGTAAACTGGAAGCTTGATTCTCCCCAGTCAGTAGCTGATTTGCAGAAAATGCCACAGCAGACTTCAGTGTCCATTTGCAGACATGTTGTTTCACCTCCCTTTTAAAATGTAAACTGTGGTGTGCTCTCTCAGGCCCATGTTCTCCGGTGGGCATGTATCTTGCTTGCTTGCCTCTATGTCTTCATTTGTTTGGTTTTGTTTGGGGGCCACACCCGGAAATACTCAAGGGTTATTCCTGACTCTGCACTCAGGAATCATTCCTAAGTGTTCAGGAGACCATAGGGAATGCTGGGGATTGAAACCAGATCAGCTGTATGTAAGGCAAACACCCTGCCCACTGTACTATTGCTCCAGCCTCTCTGTGTCTCTTATATGTTTAGATTTGCTCCTTTAAGCCCATGTTTTCCCCTGAACACATTATCTTTTTATGTCTCTTTGCTTGTTTGCTTGTTTGCTCTTGCAAACTCGTGTTCTCTCTTGAACATATATTTGGTTTCCTTCTCCCTGACTCACATCTTTCCAAATAAGTTTTTCACTTTTTTGTCCTTTGGGCCACATCTGGCTGTGCTCAGGGCTTACTCCCAGTTCTGCTCTCAGGAGTAACTCCTGGCATTACTCCAAGGACCATAAGGGATGCCGGGGATTAAACCTGGGTCAGGCGCATGCAAGGCAAGCACCTTACTCTCTGTACTATCTCTCTGACCCCTCCAAATAAGTTTGTTAAATAAACTTACCATACCTACCACTTCTCAGCCTTTTGACTAAGATCAAGTGTAAAAACTTACCATGCTTCACTTAAAAATGATTTCATATATATATGTGCATACACACACATATATATGTATATGTGTGTATGTATATGTATATATACACACATATATGTATGTATATGTATTGGACTGAGTTCCCAGGAGAATGACATGGTGTGATGGTGGGTTTTGATCATTTGACTAAGGACTTGCAGGACGAACTCTAGGAAAGAGGGGCCAGGAAGATTCCTGAAAGATTTGTAGTAAATGGCATTGGGTTGGTAGGGGTTGGGGAGAGTTGGTAATCCAGGATGAGAGAATATAAGAGAGTCCTTGGCAAAAGAGGACTCGCTGATCCCAAATTGTCTTCTCTGTCTTGCCCAGGCCTCCTGGAAACCATCCCCAGCACAGTCGTATGGATGAGTGTTGCATGTTCAACCATGTAGCCGTGGCTGCCCGCTATACTCAGCAGAGACATAACCTCCAGAGGTCAGCAGCAGAGCTGCAAAGCGCGTGTGATCGGGTGATGCAGGAGCAAATATCCAGTATGTTCTCTTCTCCCTCAGACCCTTTGATCGTTATTACATACACCCTCCCTCTCTTGCTCACAGGATCCTTATCGTGGATTGGAATGTACACCATGGTCAGGGCACCCAGCTCATCTTTGATGAGGACCCCAGGTATGCTCCTTCTGCCACCCTAGTCACTTGATTCCCAGCCACCCCCCACCCTCCAAGCTTAAGCAGCAAAGCAGCAGGGTCCAGGAGGATTGAGAAGCCCCTCACTCTTGGGACTTATACCTCTACTGCTCTCTGAGGCTGTGTTCTCTCTCTCTCTGTTGTTCTCTCTTACCATTTCACTCTGGCAAGAGCCACTGGCTTGTATCATAGGGCTCTTCTGTTTCATTTCGGGGCAAAACCAGCTGTGCTCAGGGATCACTCCTGGTGGGGCTTGGAGACCATGTAGGGTGCTGGGAATAGAATCCAGATCAGCCTCGTGCAACTCAAGTGCCCTACCCACTGTACTATATCTCTGGCCCCTGCATATAGCTCTTTTATAAGTAGAGGCTGCCAGATGAAGGCATGACCCAGCAAAGTGAAAGCTCTATGCTAAGTGTCAGCCCACGGATGTCTGGGATGCTTATTCATCAATTATCCTAGAGCCAAGTAAACCTTGAATAACTTCTGTATTTTTCCTGATGGTTACAGTACTGCAAAGTATTTATGTAAAAATTAATAGAGAACTATTCCAAGTAGTTTTACAGAATTTTCCCCATGTATAAATGTTAATTATTCTTGTGATTATCATGAAGACACCATCCAATGGGATGACAGTTCTCTCTACATGTACTTTGTTTTTTGTCTTGGGCCATACCCAGTGATGCTCAGGGGTTACTCCTGACTCTATGCTCAGGAATTAGTCTTGGCAGTGCTCGGGGGATCATATGGAATGCCACGGGATCGAACCCAGGTTGGCTGTGTACAAGGCAAATGCCCTACCTGCTGTACTATCACTTCTGCTCTCTCTACATATACTTTGGCAACTTGCTTTTTCCATTTGGCAGGGGGTAGTGGATGGGGAGGAGTTTGGGCCACAACTAGCAGTGTTCAGGGTTCACTCCTGGCTGTGCTCAAGGGACCATATATGGTGTTGGTCATTGAACCAGGAGTTGACTGCATGTAGGGCAAGCTCCTTAACCCCTGTACTATCTCTCCAACTATGGTGCTCCCAGCTTAATGCCCCCTGTCATCTAGTGAGGTGAATTTCCCTTAATTCGCTTGGAAATTCCAAGTTTAAAGTTTCATACCCCTTGCTGCCTTACTGATAAAAGCACAGGGCGGGGGCTGGAGCTATAGTACAGTGGGTAGGGTATATGCCTTGCATAATACTGACCCACATTCAATCCCCAGCACCACATATGATGATGGTGATCAGCCTGCCAGGACTGATTCCTGAGCATTGTTGGGTAAGGCCCCAAAACAAACAAACAAAAATCATCAAACTGTTAAAAGCACAAACCAGGGTTTTTATCAAATCTGATCCTAGGTAGAATGGTTTATTCTTTATTTGGGGCAAGGTGATTTTTTTCTTTATTTGGGACACTACTCCCAGCTTAGTGCTTGGGGGTGCTCCTAGTTGTGCTCAGGGGACCGAGTGGAGTGCGGGATTGAACCTGGGGCTCCCACTGGGCAAAACTTAACCATGGGAGAATTGTTATTTTGTGTGGGGGTGTGAGTGCTTGTGGTGCTATATAGCACATATCAGAGATCAGCTACACTTTGTTATCACTAAATGTTTGTGTGGTGGCTGAGTGCAATTTAGCATCTTGATTCAGAGGCTGTCATTGATGAGAGGTGGGTGGCCTCATCTACTTTTGCTTTTTTGTAGCCTCTGGCCTGGAAGGGCAGTCCTCTAACTACTGAGTCACTTCCCCTTCCCCCATACTTCTTTTTTTCCTGTTCTTTTAAAAAAAATTCATCTGGGGAACATAAAGTAACAAAATAGGAGACTAACACCCAAAAGTAGTCGAGATAAGTACCAGAGGTTTACTCCACGGCTTGGAGGCCAGCCGCACACGCTAGGGGAAAAGGCAGCTAAGATAGAGAAGGGAGCACCAATACAGGGTGTTGGGAGGATCCTCCCAGGATGGGAGAAACATGCTGAAAGTAGACTATAGACCGAACATGATTGCCACTCAATGCCTCTTTTGCAAACCACAGCACCCAAAAAGAGAGAGAGATCAAAAGGGAATGCCCTGCCACAGAGGCAGGGTAGGATGGAGGGGATGGGGGGGTTGGAGGGATACTGGGATCATTGGTGGTGGAGAATGGGCACTGGTGGAGGGGTGGGTATTCAAACATTGTATAACTGAAACCTAAGAACAAAAATTTGTAAGTCTACAACTGTACCTCATGGTGTTTCACTAATAAAAATTAAAAATTATTAATTGAATCACAGTGAGACACACAGTTACAAAGTTGTTCATGATTTGGTTTCAGTCACATAATGTTCCAACTCCCCTTCCTTCATTTCCTGTTTTTGTGTGTATGTCCCATACTCAGCAATACATAGGGCTTACTCCTCAGGGGGTTATGGGAGGCAGGTAGTTGGGGTTGAACCCAGGTGACTATAAGGCAAGTGCCTTGCCTTCTTCCTTATCTCTCCAGCCCCCGGACTTCATTTTAAAATGTCCTTTGATTTCCTTAATCAACTTACTTTCCTTGGGTGTGTTTTCTCCTGTTTGACAACTCTGTTATCTATCTTGAAGTTTGGCTTTCTTCATTTCTTTTTCCCTTTCTTAGGAACAAAAAGGATGATAGCCTTCATATGTTCCCTTGTGTATTTCTCTTCTCCTGATATTTTGCTTACTAAAAAATTAAATTCAAAATTAATATTAATGGGCAGAGAGATAGTACAGTGTGTAAGGCGCCTACTAAGGTCCAGCCACTCCAGGTTCAATCCCCAGGACCCCAAAAGGTATCCCAAGCCCCATTAGGACTGACCCCTGAGCACAGAGCTTGGAGTAAGACATGAGCACTGCTGTTGTGGCCCAACACCCAATAGAATGGATATTAACTATTAGTCAAACAATCACCCCCACATCTACTCAAGACCAGACTTTATACTAAGGTTTTATTCCTCAGTTCCAAGAATCCTCTGAGACATATTGTGTTCAATTTCAGAACATTTATTTAGCTGTGACTATTACAGTCTTAAGGATCATTTCCTTTATTTTTTATGTTGCTCTTTCCTAAAAGAAAAAGAAAGAAATGCTTTAAGTTTTTCCAGAACAAAGTGGGGAGTAGATGAATACATGGTTGGCTGAGAGATTCATTTTGTTGCCCCAGCAGTAATGAAGCCCTCCCGTGATCCCCTGCTGGGCTTTCTATCAGAACTGACACAATTGTAATTTTTCATGATCTGGATTTTGTTTTTTTTGTATTTGTTCTAACAGGAGCCACATTCATCCATGCTGGGATAGGGGTGGAGGGTTAGCTGGGCCACTCCTGGAAATGAACTCCAGGGTCTCAGAGGTGGAACTGAGTGGGCTCTGAGGTGGGCCGTGGCGTTGGAGGGGAAGTTTTGGTCAGAGAGTCCAATCAATGTGTGACTGTGGTATTGGAGAGATAAATGGAAGAATGAATGAATGAATGAATGAATGTAGTCAAGAATGATTGGGGCACTAATGAGGAAATGAGTAACTAAACCACGGTAGTTGTGGGTTGGGGTATCTGGGGAATTGATTCTCTTTAACTCCTCCCACCTCCTCTGCCTCTGTTCCCAGTGTCCTGTGTATCTCCATCCACCACTATGAACAGAATCAGGTCTGTCCCCATCTTAAAGCCTCAAACTGGTCTCCGACAGGAGTTGGTCCAGGTCAGGGATATACCATAAATGTGCCTTGGAACCAGGTAAGTGTGTGCAAATCCTTTGCCCCTCTCCCCAAGAGAATGCTACCTGCCTGTATGGCGGTATGTCCCCATCATGCCTCTCTGCAGGAGGGAATGCGAGATGCTGACTACATTGCCATTTTCCTGCGCATCCTTCTGCCTGTGGCACTCGAGGTTCTGGGGTCTGGGGTACTGGGTGAGGGACAGGGGTAAGGTTGAGGGGTGGAGCATGAAGGCAGGTGGTCTTATGGAGTCTGTTTCCCCTCTCAGTTCCAGCCCCAGCTGGTACTTATAGCTACTGGATTTGATGCCCTCCAAGGGGACCTCAAGGTGAGGCAGGATCCCTGGGGTGGCTGGTGGGTGTGAGGGGACACCAGGAGCCCCCCTGAGTTTCCATATCCCCACAGGGTGAGATGTCCACCACTCCCGCAGGGTTTGCCCAGCTTACCCACCTGCTCATGGGCTTGGCTGATGGCAAGCTGATCCTTTGTCTGGAGGTGGGTGATTTCCTTTTACCTCTTGACTTTCGGGTCCTATAGGGTAGAAAAATAGCTCACCAGGCTGGCCATGTCACCATCCCATCACTTTCACCAAGGGTTGTGTACATAGGATTCAGTACTCAGGAGCAACTCCCCCAAGGACCTAGATAGGAACTATACCCAGAACATCTTCAGAGGTGCGAGGCCTCCCACCCCATATCCCCTCACCCCAAATCAAAGACTGTAAAATAAGTGCAGCAGTTACTGCACCATGCCTTCAGTGAAAGATACCACTCTAGGAGTCACCCCTGAGCTCAGGACCAGGAGGAAGCCTTGAGGGCCATCAGATGTGACCTCCAAATGAAATCAGCTAGCAAACAAAAATCTACATACCTTCTGGACTCACTTCTTGACATTTGGGCAGTACCTGAGGACCATTACTTGCCCGGTGGCTCCTGGTGCCTCCCTGACTTCTTTCCTCTCTGTTTCCCAGGGTGGCTACAACCTGTGTTCTCTGGCTGAGGGTGTTACTGCCTCTCTCCACACCCTTCTGGGAGACCCATGTCCCATGCTGGACTCCCCTGGGGCCCCGTGCCCAAGGTAAATTGCAGCGAAGGACTGGTATTGGGGTAGGGACCCTCACAGTCCTTCCAGGAACAGAAGGGTTACGGGTATCCTCTCTTTCCTTATAGTGCCCAGGCATCCCTATTTTGTGCTCTGGAAGCCCTAGAGCCCTTCTGGGAGATCCTTGCACTGTCAGGTAGGAGGTAGCAGTGGTGGGTCCGGTCGACGGGGGAGACCTTTGTGACATCAGGCTGGGCTGGGCTGGGCTAGAAAGGGCCAGGATAGGAGGGTTTTACTGAGTTCAGTGGGGACAGGAAGGACCGTGGCAAGGGGGCCCTTTATGACCTCAGTGGGGCAGGGGGCCCTGGTAAGGCTGGACCAATGGGATTGTGGTTGAATTCCACATTCTGGACCCCAGTCTAGCTGTCCTGAGCCAACTTGATAGGTTAGCAGCAGGTAAGTTTTCTTTCCCTCACCCCCCATTTTCTATCTGGGTCAATTTTTCTGATGCCCAGAATATCTCTTGGGGATCCAGAGTGGCAGAGGTGGGTGAATGTGGTCTTACCTTTTAGCTGAGTCCCTGAAAGGGGACCCAGTGGAGAGGGAGAGCCTGGAGAACAGCAAAGCAAAGGCAAAGGCCACATCACTGGAGCCTCCCAGTGCTCCAGTCCTATCATGGCCCACGCTACAGGCCAGGACAGGGCTCATCTCAGATCAGCGGATGATGCAGCATTACAACATCTGGGACAGGTAAGGAGGGCACTGTGTGGCGGTGGGTAGGGTTGCTCTCTGCCTCCTCTTGTGGCGCTCAGCCCTGCCTCTGTTCGCCACTGCCAGCCACCACCCAGAAAGGCCTGAGCGCATCTCGCGTATAATGTGTCGCCTAGAAGAGCTGGGCCTGGTAAAGCGCTGCCAGCTTCTGGCTGCACGTCCGGCCACAGATTATGAACTACTCAGGTGTCACAGGTAGGACCCACCCCCAAAGCCTGGGCTGGGGATGGGGTATGCTTGGGGAGGGGAAGAGGCTCTAAGGGGTGGCTCCCCTCTTTGTGCCCTCAGTGTGGAGTACCTGAGCCGTCTACGGGCCACAGAGAAGATGAAAGGCCGAGAGCTTTACCGGGAAAGCATCAGCTTTGATTCCATCTACATCTGTTCTAGTACCTTCTCATGTGCCCAACTAGCTGCGGGTGCTACTTGCCGTTTGGTGGAGGCCGTTCTCTCTGGAGAGGTGAGGAAGGCAGCTGCCAGTCCGAGGCATGGCTGGAGGGGTGGGGTCCCCTCACTGCCAGTGGAGTCATAGGAGGGAGGACAGAGGAAATCAGGGGTGGGGGAAAGGAGATGGTGTGGTTCAACCTTTTTTCTGTTTCCTCCCCAGGTCTTGAATGGAATTGCTGTGGTCCGCCCACCAGGTCACCATGCCGAAATGAATTCTGCATGCGGTTTTTGTTTTTTCAACACAATCTCAGTGGCTGCTCGACATGCCCAGGCTTTCAGTGGACAAATGCTACGGTGAGGGTTCTTTGGGTGCCCTCCCACCCCACTTCCTCTGCCCATTGTGCATCCTCTGGGACCTCTCCAGGAAATTTTCTAGGATCTGATCTATCAGGGCTTCCCTGATAGCTCCAATCCCTAGAGGATTGTGGTTCCCAACTGCTGGTAAAAGAGGCCTTAGGGATCTATCCCCAGCATTTTGGGTCCTAGGCACACAGCTACATTGACAAAAGCCAGGCATTGTGCTAGCCACATAGGCCCAGGTTTCTGCCACCCCAGTATTACTCAGAGGAGCCCTGGGTCTGCTTTGAGAACTTGCTTGAGCCCTGGGGTGTAGGGTTCCAGAAGCTAGACTCTGATTTTCCTTCTTACTCAGAACCACCAGGGCACTCACCCCTAGAACCTAGGGTCTTGATACCCCCCTCTAACCCACCCCCTCACTGGGCTGGATAGATAGTGCAGGTACTTGCCTTGCACATGGCCATCACAGTTTCAATCCCTGGTACCCTAAATGGTCCCTTATCCCCCCAGGAGTGATTCCTGAGCACAGGGGGAAGGAGTAAGCCCTGCAGACAGACCCCAGTAGTCTAATTTGTGCTGGTTCTTGGGATGGGGGTAAGTGTTATGGGGCCTGAGGTGCTGTCCCTTCCCCAGGATATTGATCATAGACTGGGATGTTCATCATGGTAATGGAACCCAGCACACATTCGAGGAGGATTCCAGGTAAGGAGCTAGGGCTGGTGTAAGGTCAGCTGGGATGATGCACCCTGGGGCAAGGCAGCCATTCACCAGCTGTGGCCATCCTTTCCATCCCCCTCCATGGCCCACAGTGTATTGTACATCTCTTTACACCGCTATGATCATGGAACATTCTTTCCCGTGGGGGATGAAGGCAGCAGCAGCAAAGTGGGACGAGGTGATGGTGCGGGCTACAATATCAACGTAGCATGGAATGGACCCCGCATGGGTGACACTGAGTACCTGGCTGCTTGGCATCGTTTGGTGCTTCCTGTTGCCTATGAGGTATGACTTGGGCTAGGTGACATAGCTATGGGGGGGCGATGAGTGTGATATTGCTGGTGAGCAACCCTGGAAGGTGGGGGGTTCCTGTTGGGTGATAGGCTCTTATGGCTGGTCCATGCCTTTGCATGGTGGCCGTGTAAGACTGTGGCCTTTGTGTGGACCTGTGTGCATACCCAATGTGTCCCCTTTCTCTGTGGCTCCTTGTCACCAACATCTGTGGCCAAGGTCAACAAGTTTGAGTACCTTGCACTCATTTCTCCATGATGACTGGGTATTATGGGTCACTGCATTTCTTGCTCTGTCAGCTAGGGGTTGACTTTCAGCAGGTAGAAGTAGCATGTGACTTTCATCTTGTGTCTGTGTGTCTTATAAAGTATGTGTCTAGGGTAACAAGGGGTACTATCCAGATCTTGGGCTGAAACAGAAGGGTGTGGGTGCTGTCTCTGTGCCATCTGTGTGCACATAGTTGTTCTCATGACTAAGTTCATGTGCCTCTGCCTTGTAAAAGGACTGTGTGTGTGTCCGTGTATATGTGATATGTGTGTGTGAGAGAGAGAAAGAGACAGTGTAAGTTTGTATGTGTGACAGAGAGAGGTAATCTATGACTGAGTGGCTGTTACAGTCCCCTCTGGTATGAAATTATTGAATATGATGGGGGAACTATGTTTATGTGTGGCTGTGTATGACCATATTCCTTGTGTGGCATTATTCAGTCCTTTTTCTGTGTTAGAAGCAGGTGTGCCTCCACATGCCACCATATCTGTCGAACCCCATGTGTCGCGTGGCTGTTGCCCAGGTTTAACTCAGGGAAGGGGTCTGGGTGCCTAGTGGTATCACTCCAGTTGTGTGTATGAGGCTTGATCTGTCTGGCCATGTCTTCAGTTACCATCTCTTGATGAGTCTCCGCATCCCACTTCACTGAGCTCTCTCTCTCTCACTTCTTTGCCGTGTTCCTCATCTGCACTAGTGTTTATATATATGAGTGTGTGTATGACAATCTCAAATTATATGTATGGCAGATAGAGGAACTCTATGGCTAAGTGTGTTTAGGGGTAGTTGTGAGTGCATGTCCCCTCTGGGAGGAAACTGTTGGATATATTGGGGAGACCCATGGGTGTGTATATATGTGTGGCTGTATATATGTCTTCCCTGTGTGGCAGTGATCTATGCTCTTCTGTGTTGGAAGCAGGTGCATTTCCCAGGCACGGTGTCTGTCAAAGTCCGTGTCTTGAGTATGTGTCTCCCAGGTTTGACTCAAGATGGGGTGTGGGTCTCTACTGATGTCACCTCAGTTGTGTGTGCAAGTTTTGATCTGTCTGTCCATATCTTTGTCATGGTATATTGGGTATCTTGCTGAGTCTCTGCATCCCATGATTCCTTCTTTGCTCTCTCCGTCTCACTCCTTTTCCTCGTTCTCCAGTCCCCCAGGATTCGTGTGTGTGTGTGTGTGAATATAAAATGGTGTTTGCGAAAGAGAGAGGGACTTTATGACTGTTATGTAGGAGAGGCTGTGGTTGTCACAGACTGTCACCTCTGGAGGAAACTGTTGCATATCTTGGAGAGGGGCCTTGTGTGTGTGTGTGTGTGTGTGTGTGTGTGTCGCTGTGTGTGACCATCTTTTATGTGTGACACATGCTCTGTCTTCTTCTGTCGGAAGCAGGTATATTCCCCAGGTACTGTATCTGTTAATGTCAATGTCTTACATGTATGTTACCCAATTTTACTCAGGAAGATGTGTGGGTACCTCCCCGTGTCACCCCAGCTGTGTGTGCGAGGTTTATTGATCTATCTGTGTTTTTTTGTTTCCTGCTGAGTTAGTTTCTGCTTCTAATAATTCTTTCTTTGCTTTCTCCCTCACTCCTTTACTGTATGGCATATCTGCACGTTGTCTTGTGTGTGTGTATGTGTGTGTGTGTATGTGTGACTGTAAAATTGTGATTGCAACAGAGAAAGGAACTCTATGAGTGTTTGTAAGGGTGGCTTTGGGTGTCATAGGCTTTCACTACTGGGATGAAACTGTTGCATGTGTTGGGAAGCAGCAGTGTGTGTGTGTGTGTGTGTGACTGTGTGTGACTGTTTTCCACGTGTGGCACATGCTCTGTCCTATTCTGTTTTGGAAGCAGGTGTGTTCCCTGGTCACCGTGCCTGTCAAAGTCTGTGTCTTGCATGTGTGTTTCTCAAGTTTGGCTCAGGGATGTTGTGTGGGTACACCTGATATCACCACAGTTGTGTGTGCAACGTTAATCTATCTGTCCATGTTTCTTCACTATTTCTTACTGAGTTTCCACTTGTCATGACTGTGTCTTTTCTCTCTCTCAAACTCCTTTGCTGTTTTCTACATCTTCATGATATAGTGTGTGTGTGTGATAGTGTAAAATTGTGTGTGAAAGAGAGAAAGACTCTATGACTGTAGGAGTAGTAGCAAATGTCACAGACTTTTACCTCTGGGAAGAAACTGTTACATATGTTGGGGAGGTGCTGTGTGTTGTGACTGTGTGTGACCGTCTTCCTTGTGTGGTAGTCATCGTTGCTTTTCTGTGTTGAAAGCAGGTATTTTTCCCAGGCACTGTATTTGTCAATATCCATATCTCTCGCATGTGTTGCCCAGGATTGATGAGGGGCAGGGGTGTGGGTGCCTTCTGGTTTAACTCCAGTTGTGTGTACAAGGTTGTGCTGTCTGCCCATGTTTCTTCTCTGTTTCTTGCTGAGTTTCTGCTTCTCACAACTCTGTCTCTGCTCTCCCTCACTCTTTGCTGTGTGTTACAGCCGCATGTTCATGTTTGTGTGTGTATGTATGTATGTATGTATGTATGATACTGTGTAAAACTGTGTGTGTAACAAAGAGAGGGTCTCTATGACTGAATTTTTGTAGTGATGTTTTTCAATGTCACAGTTTTTCTTTTTTTTCTGGGAGGAAGTTGTTGCATATGTTGGGGAGGGGCTGTGTGTATTTGTGACTGTGTGTGACTGTCTTCCTTGTGTGGCACATGATCTGTCCTCCCTCTGTTGGAAGTAATTGTGTTCCCTGCTATCATGTCTGTCAAAGTCTGTCCCTTGCATGTGTATTGCCTGGGTTTGACTCGGGAAAGAGGTTTGGACGCCTCCTGGTCACACCCCAGTTGTGACCCCAGAAGCTTGATGTGTCTGTTCATGTTTCTGTCACCATCTCTTGCCAAGTCTGCATTAGCTCTGTCTTTCTAACTCCTTTGCTGTATTTCTCCTCCATGTGTTTCTTGTGTGTGTGCCTGTGTGTGTATGTGAGAGAGAGAGTGTGTGTGTGTAAAATTTTGTGTGTGACAAAGAGAGGTATCTACAGCTGAATGTGTGTAGAATTGTCTGTGAGTGACTGTCCCCTCTAGGAGGAAACTACTGGATATGTTTTTAGGCAAGAGGGAACCCTGTGACTATGTGTGATGGCCTTCCTTGCATGCAATTCTTTGTCCTCTTCTGTGTCATAAGTATTTGTTTCACCTGCTCCCTTGTCTGTCAAATACTGTGTCTTGGTGTGTCACTGGGTTTGTCTCGGAAAGGGGCTGTGGGTGCCTGTTAGGTTCACCAGTTGTGTGTCTGAGGCTTGATTTGTTTTCCATGTCTTTTTCACCATCACTTTCTGGGTCTCTTGCTTCTCACAACTCTGTCTTAGCTCTCTCCATCTCACTCCTTTGCCATGTTCCCTATCTGCCCTTTTTTAGTACATGTGTCTGTATGTTTTTGGTGTGTGTGTGACAGTGTAAAATTGTGTGTGTGACAAAGAAAGGGTATCTATGACTGAGAGTGTGTAGGGGTGGGCGTGAGTGACTGTCCCCTATAGGAGGAAACTGTTGTATATGTTCCAGGGGTGGGTGTGGGGTGATAATATGTGTGTATGTGTGGTATGTTTGTGTTCATTTTTCATGTGTGGAGCATAGTCTGTCCTTTTCTGTATTGGACATATTTGTGTCTCCCCAGTAGTGTGTCTGTCAAACCCCATGTATCACATGAGTGTTGCCCAGGTTTGACTTGGGGAGAGGGCATGGATCCCTCCTGGTGTCACCCCAGTTGTGTGTGCAAGGCATGATCTGCCTGTCCGTGCTTCTGTCACCATGTCTTGCTGATTTTGCGTATTTCATGACTATGTCTTAGCTCTCTCCACATCATTCCTGCCTTGTTACTTATTTGTGTGTTTCTGGTATGTGTTTATGTGTGTGCATGTATTTTTGCGTCTGGTTTCTGTCTCTAAAGTCTGTTTGTCATAGGCTCTCTGTCCATCTGTCTCCTTTCCTTTCTCCAAGTCATCTTGCCTTGTGACTCTATCAGACCTTTCCTGTTTTCAGGATTCTGGGGGTGTCTTCAGGTTCCAGGCCCAAGCACCCCCCCATCTCCTTGGTTTTGCGCCTCCTCCATGTCCTTGTCTCTACGTCTCAGAGTTGCCATCGTCTCCTCCCCAACTGTGGGCAGACTCACGCCCACCACCTCTCCTCTTTTTGTCTCAGTTTAACCCAGAGCTCATCCTTGTGTCTGCTGGTTTTGATGCTGCCCGGGGTGACCCCCTTGGAGGCTGCCTTGTGACACCCGAGGGCTATGCCCATCTCACCCACCTGCTGATGGGCCTTGCTGGCGGTCGTATTATCATCGTGCTTGAGGTAATGCACCTTCATCCCTCTTCTCATAGGGTGAAGACTTGAGGAGACTTGGGAGTCCTGCCCTTTCTGTCAGCTGGCAGCGACATTTAGACAATTTCTTTTGAGGGTCCCCACTCTGGACATTAATCCTAATCAGGGCATTAATAACTCCAAGAAGTGATTTCTGTTCCCAGAACACTACTTGGCACCTCAGGCTTGTTATTCATTCCTCTCTCTTTTCACAAATTTTTGTTTTAGGTACAGTATGTTCATGATAGTATTTCATGAGTAGCACAGTCCCTCACCACACCCTCCCCCAGAGGGTCCACTTCCCTCCACTACAGTCCCAGCATCTCCGCTCATCCTATCCATCTTCTTCTGACTGAATTCATTCAGCATGATACTCTCCAGAGCCATCTATGTAGCAGCAAATACATTCATTTCTTTATGAATAAATGAAAGTGACTTTGGGATGTAGGCTCACTGGACCTTATGGGGTGGCAGGGATTGAGCCCAGGTAAGCCACATGCAAGGCAAACTGCAGCCTAGGTGTGGATCTCTTTTTGTCTCACATTCCTTATACCTTTCTCTCTTTTCCTTAACCAAGGGTGGCTATAATCTGACGTCCATCTCAGAGTCCATGGCAGCCTGCACCCGCACCCTCCTGGGCGACCCACCACCACTGCTGGCTTTAGATCGCCCTCTAAAAGCAAATGCCCTGGCCTCCATCTCCGAGACCATCCAGGTTCATCGTAGATACTGGCGTAGTTTACGTGTCACAAGTGAGCGGACCTGGGAAATTGGGTGATGAGGATGGTTGGCAGTGGGGACTTGGGAGGGCAGGGATTTAGAAGTAGTAGAGTGAAGAGTACCCACATGCCAGAATCTCTCTCTTTTGTGATTCCAGGGAGGGGTGATATCAAAAGACTTTGTCCTAAAAGATACCATCAGGAAGCGTCCCACTCTGGGTTCCGAGAAGAAATAATCATCCCTGGAGCAGCTGCTCTAGATGCCGGTGGAGGCGAATCTACTTCAGTATCATCTGTAGAAGAGGCCACTTCGAGTCTGAGTAAGTCAGACATCAAGACATCCTTAATGGTGGGAGCTGAGAACAAGTCCTCAGAGGTGGCTGAACGGCATACTTCCTGGGATGACACCATTCCGGAGAGAGCCATGGCACAAGCCACACTGGGCAAGAACCCTTCCGCTTCATGTACTGTCACTACACTGCCACCTTCATTTGAGCAAGAAGTTATATCACCCGGTATGCCAGCTAGCCCTCTCAAGGCCTTGGGACCAGCCAGTGCAGCTCAGGTAATGTCCCAGCCTTTTCAGGCCTGAGGAAGAACATGATTCTGGTCACTCAGCTACTTCTCTTTCTCCTCTGTGTCCAGGCCATACCTGACATGAAGGCTGTAGAAGAAGAGAGTCCAGTGGAAGGGGCCATTGGTGGTCAGGAAGTGAATGATTCACTGCTATTTCAGGTGCTTGAAAACCAAGTGGACCTTGAACAGGTGAGCTTGGGGTATCTGCTGCAGCCACATCTCCAGTATCTCCCTTGCCCATTTGGTGCCTCAATGAAGGAGCATGTGATTTAAGGTCATAGGAGTGAGAAGGGAGTCCCTCACTTCCTCATAACCATCCTCTCCAGGTCTCATTTTATGCCATAACACCAATGACCTGGTGTCCCCATTTGGAGTTGGTCTGCCCTGTACCCAAAGTAGGACTGGATGTTACTGTACCTTGCCAGGATTGTGGCACATACCAGGAGAACTGGGTTTGTTTATCTTGCTACCAGGTATGCTGTGGAGGAAGGGGATTTGGGAGGTGGTGTCCCTTGGCCCAGGGCCAAAGCACAGGTGGGTGCTGATCCCCACACAATGATCCCTCCCCCAATCTTAGGTCTACTGTGGCCGCTATGTTAATGGCCATATGGTGCAACACCATGAAATCTCAGGACACCCGCTGGTCCTTAGCTATGCTGATCTGTCAGTCTGGTGCTACATCTGTCAATCTTATGTACATCATCAGGTAAACCCTGGGCCTACCTCCTAATGTATATAGGGTCCCCGCAGCTCCCCTCTTTGTTCTGCAGTCAGTAATAGGTGAATGGAGACCTTTCAGGAGGACTGCCTCCTGGGATAATTTGATATGGTGTCTGGGGGCATGGGGGTAGTCCAGAAGATAGGTTAGCTGAAGATGCCTGTGGGGGCCACGTCCTGACCAAGGTAAAGGTGTCTGCATTCTTTGACCTCCTCTCTCTTGCCTTTTCTTCAGGATCTCATGGAGGTGAAGAACATCGCTCACCAGAATAAGTTTGGGGTAAACATGCCCCATTCACATTAAGTTCTGAAATTTGTTCGTCTTCTGAGGCCCGTGAAATACCAGCCTTAGATAAACCACATAACATGCCCAATGAGGCTGTTATTAACTTTATTCTGTTCTGAACTCTCCAAGACTTATGATCCCCACCCTATTGCCCAGTATTGATTTTTGTTGAAACCCTTCAGAGGACTGTGGCCATCATCTCAAGATCTTGCCTCACCTCACTGACTCCTCAGAGATACTATCTTCTCTGGTTCTGAAAGAAACAACATGTCATCTGAGTGACCCTAAGAGAGGCTTATAACATGATAATATAAACGTTGAAAGGTGGGGTCACCAACCGCCTGGTATGGAGATGCTGTGTCCATAATAAAGTTGAAGGTGTTGTTAAAAAAAACTGGAGAAATTCTTGGTGGGGGGGACACCTGGCAGTGCCCAGGGGCCCACACAGAGCTCAGCCTGGCTCAGACAATGGTGCTTACAGCAAATGTGCTCAGAGTATACCAGAATTATCCCCAGCAGTGCTTGGGAGTCCTGTTATGCAGGGATCAAACTCAGGGTCTTGCACATGCCAGGCATGTGCCCTACCACTTGAGTGCTCTGCACAACCTTTAAAAAACTGGGCACTGGTGGAGGGATGGGTACTCGATCATTGTATAACTGAAACCCAAGCACAAAAATTTGTAAGTCTACAACTGTACCTCATGGTGTTTCACTAATAAAAATTAAAATAAAAATATATATCTTTTTGGCTGGAGCAATAGCATAGCGGGTAGCGCGTTTGCCTTGCACACGGCCAACCCGGGTTCAATTCCCAGCATCCCTTATGGTCCCCTGAGAACCCCCAGGGGTAGTTCCTGAGTGCAGAGCCAGAGTGCAGGAGTAATCCCTGTTCATCGCCAGGTGTGACCCAAAAAGGAATATATAAAAAATATATTTAAAAATTTGGCAGGCTCAGAGGACCATATGAGGTGTTGGAAATTGATTTCAGGTCAGCCAAATGCAAGATTAGCACCCTATCCACTATACTGTCTCTCCAAGAAAACCTTTTTAATCTCGAGTGGAGAACCCCAGACCCTTGGCCAGGGGATAATGAGGACATGGATTTTCTTTGAGAAGCACACCAAATAGGGTGCTCAGGGATCACTCCTGGTAGGTCTTGGGAGACACCCTTTTTGGTACTGGAGATTGAACCCAGGTTGAATCCGTTGCCTGCAGTCTCTCTGGCCCTAGGACATAGATTTTTGTGAGGTCAAACCCATCTAGACAAAGATTGCATTCATCTGGGGAACATAAAGTAACAAAATAGGAGACTAACACCCAAGATTAGCCAAGATAAGTACCAGGAGGTTCACTCCATGGCTTGTTGGCCAGCCGCACATGCTAAGGGAAAAGGCAGCTCAGATAGAGAAGGGAGCATCAAATAAAGGGTGTTGGGAGGATCCTCCAAGGATGGGAGATGCATGCTGAAAGTAGACTATAGACCAAACATGATTGCCACTCAATGCCTCTTTTGCAAACCACAGCACCCAAAAGGAGAGAGAGAACAAAAGGGAATGCCCTGCCACAGAGGCAGGGTGAGATGGGGGTATGGGGGGTGGGAGGGATACTGGGATCAGTGGTGGTGGAAAATGGGCACTGGTGGAGGGATGGGTAACTCGAACATTGGATAATTAAAACCCAAGCACAAAAATGTTTAAGTCTACAACTGTACCTCATGGTGTTTCACTAATAAAATTTTTTTTAAAAGATTTCAAGAAAAAAAAAACCCTGTTTATCTGGTGTCATGAATAACTGGAAGCAAAGCTAGCAACTCAACTTTTCCCTGGGAAGAGGAAATGATGGGAGTCCTGACAAAATGAGTGCCTGCCTTAGAAATAACATCATATCCAGTGCCAGCTATCCTCAGGTTTGAGAAAGTGAGAGGATTCCGAGGAAGTGTCCTTTCCAGGCCTGAGGGTAGCTGGTTTTTGTGGGGGCTGTGGGTGAGAAGTTGAATGGCTGGATTTAATGGTATGGGGAACTGCCTAAGAGAAGGGATGCTTTCTGCTAAGCAGAGGTAGGTAATTGAGGGCTGATGTAGAGACCATAATTCTCCCACCTAAGGAAGATTGCTTGGGCAACACCAAGGTGTCTGGTCTGAGATTACCCAGATGTCAAGGCCCTCTTCTGAGGATACAATGGACTTAATGATCTGCCCCCAAGCTACACCCAAGCAGGAAATAATGGGAAGGAGGAGGGGGCTCTGTTAACTCTATCATCACCCCTTTCAAGAAGTTTTCTGTCTGCCAACCTATGAGTGTTGTAGATGCAAGGGACACTGGGAGATGGTTTAAGTGGACACATACCCCAATCACATTTTTCATCACTGACAGAAGAACCCCTCCCTGACTCTCTCTGTCCAGGAATGGACAAACCTGCAGGAAACCACACAGGCTCCTCCCCTGCCACCAACCCAGCCCCACCCCCCATCCCCCACCACCCCAGCCCCACCCCCATCCCCCACCCAGGCCTCCAGAGGCCTTCCCCAAAAATTTCCCGTAGTTCTGCATTTCAGACAAACTCTTGGCTTCCCACCACTGCAAACCGGGAGTGAGGAGTGAGGTGAATCCCTACCCAGACACATAAAGGTGGCTGGGAGCTTTTGGAAAGTTTGTGGAGCTGAGGACCAAGAGGTATTTTTGTAGGCTAGGGCAAGATTCCCCCTCACCACCACTTCCCCACCCCCACCCTCACTAGAGTCCTGAGGGAGGGGCCTCTGCGCATGCGTACTCATTGGCTCCCCCCCTCTGCCTTGGGGTCGGGGAGGGAGCATCCCCTCAGGTCAGCTCTGTCAGAGTTGCAGAGGAGGATCGGGTCCAAGCATTACCGACTTTCCCAGCACCGAGGTGAGTCCAGCTGCCCAGCCCCGTTCCGATGACCAGGAAGCCTTTCCACAGAGTAGAGGGTGGGGGGTACAACTGAGGTCACTTAGGAAAAGACCCTTCACCTATTATCTCCGGTTCTCAGGAGCTAGGAAGCGCCTCTCAGCCCCTTCTGGCTTTGTGGACACAGCGCTGGGTACAGGTGTTGCTCTCCCTGTAGGAAGAGAGGCTAGGAAAGAAGGTTTGGAAGTGGGGTGTCCTTGTCCCATGCCTGCAAACCTTCTGGAAGAACTGAGCAGGATTGTGTCGACAGCACAACGGGTGGTGGCAGTTTTCCGATGAAAACGGGGGTTCATCCCTCTCCGTCCCGAACTTTTATTTTAACCTAACTAAATCGCAAGTAGTATGACCTGGTAAGCTTGTACCTAGCCCTGAGAACGGGGCACGATTGGGGAGGGGATCCACCTGAACCCCCTATTGTCCGCCCCTAGCTCTCTGTCCCTCTTTAGTTCATTCCCCTGGGACTGAAAGTGAGTAAATCCCAAACCTGCAGTCCCAGCGGCTCTGGCTATGGCTGTGGCTCCAGCCCCAGCTCCAGTACTTGAATGGTCTGGAGGTGTTACCAGGTCCCAAAGAGGGAAGGCTCACACTGGCAACATGTATCACAGGACCAGGTTCTGTCTTCCTTGGGTGGGGGTGGGGGGTGGGCTTTGTTCGTTGCTGCTGGGCCTGTGGCCTCGGGCCATCATTCCTCTTGCACTTGCTGCCCCATGTTGCTAAATGCGCTTCGGTGCTTCTAAAGCCATACCTCCCTGGGTGGGACATAGGGTATGGACTGAGTGTGAGCAGGTCATTAGTGAGCACATGCTAAGCTTTCAGTAAATAGCTTCTCTTGTGATCCTTGTCGCACCTGACCCCCTCCTTCCTGTTAATTTCACAGTAGAGTCTGTCCATTCCATCATCGGAGTATACCAGGATCCGACTTCTCTCTTCAGGTAAGCTGCCAGCTTTGGTGGGCTTCCCTCCTTTGGTCTCACCTCCCCATCTTCCCTGTAGTTTATGCTCTCAGCTTCTACATTCTATCTGTCCAAAGTGTTTTTGAGGATCCCCCCTCTCCCGTCTGCTCTCTCACTGTTCTTTTTTGGAGGCTACTTTGGAGGCTACACACTTTCACAAAACACTTTGTAAGCTCCCTACACCTGGATCCCCACCTGGGGTCTTGCTAGGCAGGTCCTGAACCCCCTGTGGAGGCCTCAAATCTCTACCCCCACCTACCCCCATCCTTCTGCTTCCAAATAGCTTCTGCTCTGGGATTTCCTGGGATATGAAACACTTCCTGAGACCACACTAAACTTCAGACTGGGATGTATATTGACTAATGGTAATTTGCTATTAATAGTTAGCACTAATTGAGCACCTGCTGTGTACCCATCCTCTTCTAACTGAATGATAATTTACTTGCTTGTTTATTGTCGCTTCTCACTTCCAGAATCTAATCCTCACGGGGGCAGGGATTTGAATCTTATTTGGTTCAGTCCCATAGCCCCCTCCCCCACCCCCAGCACAATGCCTTCCCAGCCAGGGATTCTCAAGTTAATGAATGGAAATTAAATTACAATAAAAATGCCTGACCACCTTCTGCATGCTTTTTACCTATTGCTGAAATCCTTTTTCTTCTAATTGACCTTTCTGTCTTCTGGATCAGAATAAGAATTTCAAGCAGGGGTGGGGGGCTGGGGATTTTGGGATCTGTGCTGTTTTCCTCCCCACCCCCACCCCCACCAACACTCATACCCCGATCTGTAATTCCTGGCCAAATGGTAGATTCTCAATACCTGTATGTGAATAAATCATAAAAACGAGATTCTAATGATAAGTAATGTTGCTCCCCAGCTACATCGTTTGCATATTTATTTGATTTATTATTTCTACCTTTTTAGCACACTAATTCCCTGAGAAGCAGGGATGTGGCTGAAGTCCGTTTGTATGCCAGGTCCTGTGACTGGCGAGGGTTTACTGGTGACCAAATCAAAATCCACATCCCCCCATCCTCCCTCTGGAAAGGGGGAGTCCCTAATGGGTGGCAGGGTGCTGCTGGTGGGAGGGGGTGTTTGCAGGTTAATGTATTGATGTGTTGTTCTTAGATAAATGATGGTGATGGTTGAACAACTCTGAAGAGACTAAAAGGAACTGAATTTGCCTGCTTGAACTAGGCTCACTTCTAGCTCAATGAAATGCTTTTAGTCTCTGCCTTGGTCTGGGGATGGAATTTCACTGGGGAGCACGTGCTTCCTATGATAGGAGGCTCTGGGTAGTTCAATCCCAAGAATCCCCAAAAGGGGAAAACTTGGTGCCTTCACTGTTTCTCAAGTAGAGGCTTGAGGGAAAGAGCACAAATAACATCAATAACAGATCTAGACCATTAGAAGCCAATTCACACATGCTCCATCATTGATTCAATGACACCCAGCTGTTCCCTTGCATGCAGTGGTCTCTTCTCACTTCCCTCCCTCCACCTGTTATTTCTTTTCTTTGCACTTGTAGAGCCTGCTTGTGGTCATCTCTTCCCTGAGTTGCCTGCTGGAAGCATGCCTCTCTCCAAAAACGCTAGTATGTTTGACCTGAGTGCCGCCTCGTGGAACCTTGCTGCCCCGGATGGGAGCCAGAATGCTTCACCACCCTCCGTGGACATTGACAAGCAGTTGCCTGAGTACAAGGCTGTGGTGGTGGGTGCGAGTGGGGTGGGCAAGAGTGCACTAACCATTCAGCTGAACTACCAGTGTTTTGTGGAGGACCATGACCCCACCATCCAGGATTCCTATTGGAAAGAGGTGACTCTGGGTGATGGGGGCTGCATTCTGAATGTGCTGGACACAGCAGGGCAGGCCACTCACAAGGCCCTGTGTGACCAGTGCCTGGATGTTGGGGATGGTGTATTGGGTGTCTTTGCTCTAGATGACCCCTCATCCCTAACCCAGCTGCAGCAGATGCGGGCCACTTGGGGTTCCCGCTACACCCAGCCCCTAGTCCTTGTGGGCAACAAATGTGATCTGGTGACCAACACAGGAGATGCTCACGCTGCTGCGGTGGCCCTCGCGAAGAGCTGGGGGGCCCCCTTTGTGGAGACCTCAGCCAAGACACGGCAGGGTGTGGAAGAGGCCTTTGCACTGCTCATCCAAGAGATCCAAAGATTCAAAGAAGCCATGGCGAAGGAGGCTGTCAAAGGGCGTCGGGGGTCTAAGTCACGCCACCATAAGATTCTGTGCCGCTGTGGATGTTCTGTCGCCTGATGTTCCCCATCCAGTAGCTAGACCCTCTCCCAAGCTAGTTTTAGGTACCTTCACCCCCAAGTGATACCAGTGTGCTGGGGCTCAGTGGTACTCTCAGGGAGGTTTGCATTGATGGTGATGGCTATGCTTTTGGGAAATGGGATGAAGCATTTTGGTAATGGGGCACAGCTGCCTCAGCATAGTGTGGGTTGGGTTCTTTTTTGTCAAACTGAGATATGTGCCAGAAGTTTCAAATAAATGGTGGTGTCATATTTCAAAGCTGGTTTCCAGCCAAGTGTTGTGGGAGGGAGTAAGATTGGGTAGAATGTTAACTTGAATTGTGAGGGTGCTTTCATTCAAGAAATGGTGTGAGGAGAGCCTGCCTTGATAAGCTCAGTTAGGATTTGAAGGATGCGGAGACACTTCAAGCTCCTTGGAGAGTAAAGAAACACAGGTGAGGGAACAGTGACAGGTGGTGGAAGACTTGAGTGGGGAGCACCTGAGCCACAACGTGATGTGTAGGGAAATCAGCTAGCACAGCATACAGCCCCAAGTATCTTCAGGGCCTGTGGTAGATAAAGCCTGAGCTTAGAGAGGCCTCCAGTACTCTATAATGAAATAGTTAAAGGTTCCAAAGCAAGCTAACAAGGAACGAAGGGAGCCCTGCCCTCCTACCCGGGAGACCCAGGCTAGTCCCTCTGGCCCCTGGGGTCCTAGGCCAGACTGATGTAGGTCATCCTGATCCCTGATCTGCAACCCTTCAGTCCTCCAGGGGCTCCTGCTTTGCACCTTTGGACCATCCCTTGGGTTTTAGGAGAATGGAAATCAGAGAGAGCCACGGTGAGTCCTGCAAGTGGCCTTAAGCCCGAGGCCAGGCCGCTGAGTGGGACCCAGACTGTGAACAAAGAGTCCGGACCCCCCCCAACCCCCGCCCTTCTCTCCAGCGCACAATGTAGTTCTATCAAGGCGGCTGTCACCACCCAGCCCACAAGAAAAGGCCTTGCAAGCCCAGAGCTGCTGGTTCACTGCTTCTTTATTGTGGGGCTGGAAGGCAGCGACTGCGGCAGGCAGGAGGGGGTGCTGGTAACGTGCGCTCCGCTCCAATTGATGGCGGGCAATCTAGGGTGGGGAGAGAACGGGAGGGGGGCGTTGGGCCGTGGCCCGAGGGCACTGCGGATTCAGGCCATGCTCAGGGTGGCAAAAGGCGGCGGCCTGGTGCCTGCTGAGCAGGGGTCTCCAGGCGTTTGACACGCAGCAAGGCCCCCAGCACGCCGTCGGAGCGCGAATCCGGGGCCACGTCCGGGTCAGCAGAGCGGCGGAGGCGGCGTGGAGCAGCCGCAGATTCCTGATCTGGGCTTCCCGAGAGGAGCCGCCCCAACAAATACCTGCAGGAGGGTGGAAAGAAGGGAACAGGAGGGGAAGCATCCGGACAACGCCCAGTTTGGGGTTGGGGACCCCTCTCCAAAGTTACCCCCACCCCCTCCTGGCACCTAGCCACTCTCTCTCCCCACCTTGGGGTCCTAGCTCACTGCTTTTGGGAAACAGATCCACACCTGGCCTCCCCTGCCCCCTTTCCCCTGCCACACAACTGGTTATAGGAACTGTTCCCCCCCCCCGCCCCCTCCGAAACTGGGGATTGTTCAAGCTGTTACCAGCCCAAATCCCTCACATTAATGACGCATGAAGGCTCCCTCTGGCCCCAGCCCACCACTTGCCGGGTACCTCAGTAACTCTGGGTCCACGTCGGGCGCTTCGTCGCCCGTTTCATCAGCCTCGGGGGGTGCAGGGGGTCCGTCGTCATAGACTGGGGGCCGGGGTCGGAGCGGGGCAGCGGGGCCCGGAACGGGCGCCAACTGAGCGGCAAAGGCCGCCGGGTCCAGGCGGGCGCGGAGCAGGGCGCGGGCGAGCTGCGCAGCGGGCGCGTCCGGGTCGTCCTCCAAGCCTAGAGCAGGATCGGAGGTGCGGGGCGCGCCCCAGCTGCGCAGCATCTGTGCCAGCATACGAGCCTGCTGGTCCTCGGCCTCCTGCGCTTCAGCCCGCGCCCGCTCCTGCCTTTCGGCCTCCAGCAGGTGCGCCAGCGCCCGCGCCAGCTCCTGCACAGCTCCCGCCGCCTCTCCACGGAGCACAGCCCGCCGGAAGCGGCGGGGAGCGCCTGCTTCGGCCTGGGGCGGTGAGGCTGCGCCCAGGTTGTGGGACTCCTGGGGAAGGACATGGCGGGGGGGGCAAAATTTCATTAGGATCCCATAGTTTAGTTAAGGACTCCGTGGCCCCCAAACATCCCCCATGCCAACAAAGGCACTGTGGACCCTCAGATCATCAACTAGCTTGAGATACAGTGGAACCCGAAAGACACCCCCTTACACACACACACACACACACACACACACACACACACACACAATTTTCTGGCGATCCTTAACTTACTTGGTCCAGAACTGCTGGAGTTCACGTTTCTTTTCCTTTTTTGGTTTTGGGGCCACACCTGGAGGTGCTCTGGGCTTACTCCTGGCTCTGTGCCTAGCATCTGCAGGGAGGGTGTGCTCTGGGGACCCTATGCAGAGCCTGAGACAAATCCACGGTGGGCTGTATGCAAGATAAGTGCCTTCTCTGCTAGCTCTCCAGCACCAAGACCACATTGGTTTGTTTATAGGTGTGGTGATGCTCGACAGACATTACAGGTACAGATTGGTTCATATTAATGGCATGGACAATGTGAATCTGTGGCTGCTTGATGCAGGTTCCTTACGTCCACTAGTTTACTTCAAAAGTCGCAGCACTTAATTCTGGACCTTGCTTTTGGGACTCTATCCTTCAGAGCACTGAAAACATTCTTGCTCCTGAACTCCTTACCTACCTCTTTCTCCCATGGTTCCTCCTTCTCTCACTCCTCCTTTTCTTCCAGCACTGACTCCTATTTGTAGGAATGTACTGTAAAATTTAATCAACTGCTCTTGCATGGATACACCTTTAGGATGTTTCCGGTCATTTGATATTCATAGAAAGCATGTTGGAATAAATAACCATGCTCATTATAGGATTTAGCGTGCATACTAATCATTCTATGTGTAACAGGAAATAACCATTCTATGTGTAACAGGAATTAACCATTACTCATTTTCAGCTCTCAGAGTTAGAAACCATTTAAATGAGTGTAGGGCCACTTTGCCTTGCATCCACCTGACCCTGGTTCCAGCTCCAGCGCCACATGGTTCTCCCCTGCCCCCACCCCACCCCAGAGGCAGAAATATCCCTCCAGCACTGTCTGGTGTGACACAAATCACCCTAGACCCCCTAAATCAATAAATCAAGTTTTAAAACATTTTTTCTTCAAGTTTAAAGAATTAAAGAATATCAAAAGTGTGAGCAAAAATAAAGACCATGGGACTAACCATGACAATTCAAAACAGAAGTTATATGTCATAAAGCACAGACTTAATGAAGGGGAGGAAGCATGGGAAGTTAATTGCATTTCAAACAGAATCACACACTGACATTTAGTCCATGGCCAGAGACAGCACTCCACATCCAGGACAGGTAATCCAAACAGGGCTCAATGGAAAGGAAAAACAAAGCTAACCACAATAAAATGAAGAATTTTTTTTATTTCAGGACACCAGAAATGAATGAAAAGAAGATACCTGTAATATCAATAGTCAAGCATTAGTATCCAATAAGCAAAGGACAAAACATACATACACACATGCATGAGAGTTATAGCAAGATAAGAAGAAACACTAAATGATCAAGTTGTTGCTCAAAGTATAAACTAAGCCAGTACCCAAACATAAAACAACACATATCCTTGCTAGTAAGATTGATTTGTTTCTTTTGTTTTTTGTGAGGGGGTCACACCCAACAATGCTCAGGGGTTACTCCTGGCTCTGCACTCAAGAATTACTCCTTGGCAGTGCTCAGGGGACCATATGTGATGCCAGGGATTAAGCCCAGCTCAGTCATGTGCAAGGCAAGTGCCCTACCCATTGTACTATCACTCTGGCCTGCCAGTATAAGTCCAATGGCAACGAGATACTCAGCACAATACACCCAGTGTTGACATGGATTCAAGGAAATGGAAACTGTCATGTGTTGGTGGTGGAAATTCAGCTGGCAAAATCACTCTGAGGAACAATCTGGCAATGTGTAAACGATATGACTATCCTATGATCAACAGCTCCTTGGGGTGTTACCTCCCCCAAATAGCTTGAGAATACTACTGGGCATGAGCTCGCTGACAAAATGAGAATTGCTATTTGTAGTTACATAAAAGTGGAGGGAGGGAGGGAGGGAGGGAGAGAGAGTGGGAGAGGGAGGAAGAGAGAGTCTGGCCACAACTCAAATGCCTAGTGACATGTTGTGAATTGCATTAAAAAACATGCTCTCCTCATATCCTGAGGACATAGTCAGAGGATACAGTTTTATGCAGAAATAAAGAGGAATAAATGGTAACCACACATAAACCACAGATGAATCAGTCAGTTACCAAAAAGCAGCTGGTAGGATTCACCAGTTTGAGACTCAGACATCCCAGCAACTTCATAGTGACCCCTAGTGACTACTGGGAGCCAAACGCCTGATACTTAGTGATACATCCATATGTACTAAATGAAAAACAAAAGTAAGGACTCAAGAACAGAAAATATAGAATAACAATAATAAGCAAAAGAGAACTGACATGGCAAGGGACATGAGTGGACTTAACTGGTGATTGGTCATGCTCTATTTTCTATACTGAGTGGTCGATACACATGGGCATTATTTATTTGAGGGCTACTCCGCATTGTACTCAGAGCTTACTCCTGACTCTGTGCTTGGGGATTACTGCTGGCAATGGTGGGGAACTCATGTTTGAACCTGGGTCAGCCCCTTGCAGGGCAAGTGCCTTACCAGCTATTCTATCTTTAGAGCCCTCTTATCATTTTCTGTTTTAGTTTGGTTTGGGGGTCACACCCCATTGTGCTCAGGGCTGACTCCTGGTTTTTGTACTCAGGGATCACTCCTAGAGGGTCTTGGGGGACCCTATG